CTGGTTATGGCCTACAAAAGCAGCAGAGGAAGGCGTAAGGCCTTGGGACCCTGTACTCATGTGGGAGACCTGGAGGAAGCTCCAGGTCCCTGGCTTAGGACTGGCTCAGCTCCAGCTGTTAGGGCCGATTGGGGAGTGAACCAGTGGATGAAGGATCTCTCTCTTTCTCCCTCCCTCTCTCTCTGTGTAAATCTGCTTTTAAGTACAAATAAATAAATCTTTTCTAAAAAGGGTAAATGCCGTGCTACGTAAAGTATGTCTCGATTAAAACATCTCATGTATCAAAACAGCCTCGGGCCATAAGACAGCGATGAGGATGGCTTGGGTTCATGAAGTGCGCACAGCACGTGCCTGGCACGGACAGCGGCTGTTTGAATTTGGCACGGGCAATGTAGGGGTGAGAGGAGAGATAAGGGTCCATGCTGGAGCACAGTTCATAGTGCAGGGCACGTGGCCAGCAGCCAGGCGCAGCTTCACTCTGCTGTCCACCGGCTCTCATGCGGGCACCTCGCTGCCCAAGCAAGAGGTCAGAGTGTGGCCACAGGTTTTTGTCTAGCTCATCTGTCTCCATGCCCTGCTCAGCCTGCGTGGATCTGGAAGGGCAGGCCAAGGTAACTACCCTGCCGGCTTCAGCCTGGCCCCACTCTCCTGACTTTGCAAGGTGTGCTCTCTGCAACCTGATCTGGTTTGCCTGGCTCTGGGCCTCTCAACCCAGCTCACCACTGAAGCTCCGGATTAGGAAGCAGGGAGGGGCTCCCTCAGGGCTGGTCCTCAGGACAGAAGACAGATGGGTGGCAAACTGCAGGTGGCAGGAGCCGGGCACCTGTGGGGCCAGGCTTGCTTCTCTCCCTGCTGGCTTCTTCCTCTCCAGCTGGAGCCAAAGCCATAGGTCACCCAGGAGGGCAGCTCTGATTGGCAGCATAAAAATACACCTCAATTGGCCCGTGCTTGTGGCCTGGGAGGGCATGGTGAGTGGAGACAGGACAGGGAGTTATGACTTGCTGGTAGGGGACACAGGCTCGAGGACCCCAGCCTGTGCGTGTGGTTGTGTACTATGCACAAGGCTGTGGGCTGTGTGTGCTCACCTAAATGGCAAGCCCTCAGGTGTCTTCTGAGTTTGCGCGAAGACTCCAGCCAGCAGGAACCCTTTTGGCTAAAAACCCACCATAGATGCCCTGCCACAGGAAGTTATAGAACCCTTGGAGTGAAGCGTCCCTGGATCCCAGGCCGGCACAGAGCTCCAGAACAGGGCAGCTGCAGGACACGTGGCCCGTCAGTGGTGCCAGATGTAAGGGTGCTGAGGAGGTCCCTGTCCCTGCTGGCCCGGAGGGAGGTGGAGGACACTTCCGAGGAGAAACAGACCCTGGAGGTGTCACTCCCCAGGGCCAGGTGTAACATCCAGAAGACGTCTGGGACCCGAATCAGCACGGGAGCTCCTGCCGAGTGGCTGCAGTGGGAAGCCCCGAAGCAGCAGCGTCTCCCAGCTCAGGGCTGTGCAGGCTGCACCGACATGCTCCGGTGTGCTCTGCAAGTGCCTGGGAAGCCGCCTGCAACACAGACAGGAGCCGGAAGGAGCAGACTGGGGGAGAGCAGTGGGCGCCGGGGCGGGGAAGTGTGACTCGGGTGCAGAATTTAAGTGTGATCAGGTTTAAGGCAAAAGGAATGGAAGCTGACTCAGCGGCCACGGGCAAAGGCCTCAGACCCCTTGAGTGTGCAGTCGGACATGCTGAGCACAGGTGCTCCCTTGGCCAGCTCCCTGCCGATCAGCAGAGGCCAGCACTGAGGCATTTATTCTGTATGAAGGCCAAAGGTTCTGTTAGCAGAAAAAGGTGCAAACAGGTGACCTTGATTAAAGCGTGGGGCTGAGCAGTGGGAGCAGTGACAATGCGATGGCAGGGCCCAGCCACTTACGGCCCTCTCAGCCCTTGCTGGGCTCCTCACCGGGCTTTGCTTCTGTGCTGCTTCTGCACTGGGACCATCCCCAGCTCAGAATACGAGGAGGGAGCCTGAGCAACCCTGGCTGCTCGATGGTGACAAGTGACTCTCCTGGCCTGTGACACGGCTCGGGGGCTGGTTAGCTAAGGCCAAGAAACTCAGCACCGCCGTCTAGATTGGCCTGATGCTGTGTCTCTCAGAGTGGCTGGATGGGGCAGCTGGCATCTTGCATCCTGGTCTGAGATAGCACCTTCACTTGGTACTTTCCCAATATCCTCAAAGAACTGCTAGTAGGACCAGACCTTGGTCTGCTAAAACCCACCAAAGCCTTTCCTTTGAACAAACTAGGTCTTCAGCATGGACATGCACGACTAAGAGCCTTCATAAATGATGGAATGGCTGCGCCTGCAGTCTGGCAGGGCCACCTGACCATCGGAAGATGCGGGCGCTCTTGGGACAGCCAGCACCTGCCCACACAGCTCTGCCTTTGCTTGCTGCAGCCAGACTCCTCCGTTTCCTGTGAGCAGCTGCAGCTGGGGATGCCCTCCTCAGCTGGAGCCCCTGAGGATTTGTGGGGAAGGACCCACCCACACGTACTGAAAACAGAATGTGAGAGAGGAAGCACATGGCCTTGCTTGGAGAGGCAATGAGAAGTAGGCAGATGGAGGCAGCTAGCTCTCATCCCGGGTTCTCTTCCTGACAGGCCTGCAAGCACTGCGACTGGGCTGGGTGGCTGGAAACACAATCCAGGTCTGCCCCACGGGTAGCAGGGGTTCAGACCAGTTGCTTCCCGAGGTCAGCAGGTTAGCTGTTGCCTGAATTTGCAGGAAGCTGGAATCGGGAGCCAAGGAGAGACCTACAGACACGTGCTCTCAAGTGAGCTATGGGCATCTTACCTGCAGGGCCAGGTGCTGTCCCACAGATGCACTTGTTCTCAGCTGCTGCTGAAGCACCTTCTGTCCTGCTGACTGCCCCATCCATGCAAGAAGGCCCGCAGAGCACAATCAGGCCTGCCCACCCCCTGCAAGGCCTCCCTCCCTCGTTGATTAGAATCCCTGCGGCACAGACCTCCTGGCTCTGAGACGGCTGTTTTCCAGCACAGCTGAAGATACCTCCAGTCTCCGCGCTGGCCAGAGGACCTGCCGCCCGGGCGGAGCTGGAGGACCTGAGCTGCTGGCCAAGGCACGCACAACTGGATGCTGACTCCTGTGCTACTGGCAGATGCTCCTGGAAGGGGTCCCTCTGCAGTGGCCTTTGGGAGAGAAAACCTGGGTATCCGGGGCTTTTGGAGCACAAGCATGGGGTGGAGGCTGGACAGCCTGGCAGATGCCTCCTTCCCCGGCTCACAAGGTCCCTTCGTGATCCCTCCTGGCACACAGGACAGCTCTGCCTTCAGTGCTCCCAGGGTCACACACTCACAGCAGACAGTGTTTGCTGCAGCCCAAAGGCCCTCACAGGAAAGCATTGGCCCTTCCAAGAGGCTGCACTTCTAATTCTGCTGCTTCCCTCACTCTCCCAGAACTCCAAACTAAAATTAGTTTGGAAGGAACAAACTCTTGAAGTGCAAAAAGAGTCCATGCCAGCTGGGGAGAGAATCCAGAAAGGAGGAGACAGAACTGCTTTCAGCTGCTGTCCTTCACGTGTATCTTTCTCATGTGGCGGCTAGGGGTGGAGGGGTGGCAGGGGGACATTAGGGGTGCTGGGAGAGGAAAGGGAGACCTGCAGACCACCTCAACTGGCCGGAGAGCTTCCCAGGAGCCCAGGGATCGGGTGTAGCTGGGCCCCCGGGTGCATCCCCAGGAGGTGCCATGGCCCATGCCTGCACAGGCACTTGAGTTGGTGATGCGTGGCAGCTGGGCCGCCTTAGGCTGGAATGGCAAACAAAGGCCTTTGTGTGAGTCCAGCTCAAGACGCACTCAGCCAATGGGATCAGGGGGTTGGCCAAGTGCACTGCAGGTGGGACAGGGAGTGCAATCTTTAATTATTTATCTTAACAAAATGTAAAGAAAATTCGATGAGAAAATACCTTCATGTGCATATGGCTCCTTCCTTGTCCCTGCACCAAAGCCTGTCCGAAGGCCCTCCATCCACAGAGCAGTTTTAAGCAGTGTCCACTCCAAACCCTCCCTCTCTCCAGCGGATGGGCCTCTGCTCGCCCGCCCACCACTGTCCACACACAAATGGGCCCTGGCTGGGAATCTGAGATGCTTCCATGCCACACAGCTCCATTCTGCAACCGTGCCTCCTGCACTTGCCTCAAGCTGAGCCCACGGTGCTGCTTTGTGGAAGATGGAGGCTTGGGGAGCCTGGTCGCTGGGCGTGCAGCAGCTCACTAGCTGCCGATGCCCGAGGCACCGACCCCCAAGGCCAGGTGGAGCCCCCTTCTGTAGACCTGCGGGCTGCCCTCGGAGCAGTCCTGTGACGGAGGCCGATCTGGGGGCTCCTCAGGGTGGGCAGGCTTGAGGCTGCATCTGGGGCATGCACAGCAGGTGCAGGGGAGTGCTGGAGCAGGCAGGGGTGCAGTAAGTGCTCCTCATGCAGTATCTGGGCAACCTCACAGTGCCCACGTGCCAGCTGAGGCTGTGCTGAGCCCCTGGATGGTGGCGCCACCTGACAGTCTACTTGGGGCCAGGAGATGAGTGGAGCCACACTCCATGTGCCTACAGTGCTTGGTCCCAGCTCCTGTCACCTGCAGGATCGCTCTCTGCACAGGCGAGGACAGGATGGTGCCTTCCGCAGCCCAGCTCAGCCAGGCTCTAATTCCCAAAGGGGGCTGCCAATCTGAGGATGGAGGGCATGGAGAGGGCACCCTATTCCTGAGGGTTGTCCTGGGTGTGTTTCTGGACGTGACCTTGAGAAGCTCTGGTCGAGCAGGGCTGGAAGTCACAGGTAGCCCAGGTGACCCCTGTCCAAAGACTCCTAGGATCCAGGGTGCATCGGAGGGGATGTGCAGGGCCATGCCACGTGGGTGGGTGAGAAGGCTCAGCTAAGGCACCTCTAACCCAGGTCAGGGGAGTCGATGTGCTGCCTCTAAGCCCAGGTTAAAACTCGTTCCCACCCCCACCCCAGCTTACCCAAATCCTCTCTTTTCCTGCCACATAGCCTCATCTGGGGGATGTGAGGAGTCAAGGCCACAGCTTCAAGGGGGTGGGGTGGGTGCTCACCCTCTCCTGCTCTTGACACACACTCCAGTCCCACACCCACTGTACAACAGATGCCACGGACTTGACTTTGCATGTCAAAATTCTTTTTTGTTTAATAATAATTAAAAAAATAACCAAATCACAAGGAGCTTCAGAAGTACATGCTGCTGAGTTCCAGCCATGATGTAGACAACAGGAGACACCGGGCTCTGCCAATATAGCTGCTTTCCGTGGCTCGGTCCTGCAGCGTGGAGAAGGCCCAGATCCCTGGCCAGCAGGAGAGCACACGGGTGCCAGGCAAGCGCCGTGCAGGCGGCATCTTTGGTTGGCTGGAGTACTCATCGACCGGGGCTCGCCACAAGCGGCTTGGCAAGAAGGTCCCGCGGTCTTCTCAGAAGGACAGGAGGCGTCCAGCCTCAGCCAGCCTCCTGCCGCTGCTGAGGCTGCAGGACACGTAAAGGGAACCTAATGCAAAGTAGGGTTGGGATCTGAACTTGGATCTCACGGGAGCCCAATAAGCAACCGCAGGTTGCCCCGGGCTGGAGTCAGCCCGACACTGTGCAGAGGTGGTGTGCGTTGTGTCCATTCCTAGAACCCTTGATACCAAAGAAAAGTAGTAATTATAGCAATATAAACAGGGCCCTGGACCCCTCTGTTTTATTAAAATGGCACGTACATATTGAAACAACATACTGATGGCCGTGTGTCCCTGCTAGGCCATGGGGCTGCCACGTCGGTGGCACGGGGGCACCTTCCCGCAAGGCCGCAGGACTCACGCGTTCAGCAGCTCATGTTCTTTATCAGTTTTCCCAATCGCATCAGGATTTGACAACGGGTCGAGATCAGCGAAGAGGCTGAACCAGGCAGTCAGGTCCGAGGCCGCCTTGGCCGGCTCTGGGGAGAGAAGAGGATACGTCAGAGAGGACACACCCTCCAGGTGCCCAGCCCCGCCGGGCCGGGTGGGGCGGCCACAGGGAGGCTGTTCCCTGGGACACACCCCTTTTACACTCTTGTCCTTAGGAATGAGAAAGGAACCCAGGTCCCTTCCTTGGCTGACTGGCCTGAAGCTCAGGGAAGAATGTGCTGTGTGTTCCTCTTCCCCCACCCCCATCCTGAGGGCCACAGTCCATGAGATGCTTAAAGCCTCTGACTGTGTCGTTGCCGCAGCTCGACTAGGCAGCAGTACGCTTCGTTTGGAGTCAGGCTGCATGGCCGAGTGAGTGCAGGGTGCTTTCCAGTGCTGGCTGGAAAAATTCAAAGCTGCTGGGCTGGGAGAAGCGCCCTGGCTGCTGGCTCCCCGGGGCGACTGCCACCCATGTAGGAGCGGCTTCTCTTGGAGCCACTGCCTCTCCACCCACTCCTGTAAAGGCAGAGGGCCTCCCTGGCTAATTGGTAATTCTACCCCCACTTGGCAGGGCTACTGGCTCAGTGACTGGGTGGGGGGAGAGGGGGAAGAGGGAGCGGGGGGCCAGCCCCAGATCTAACACTGGTGACAACGCCTCCCTTCCCCAAGGAGGCTTAACACCACCCATACACTTTGAGCCTCACTGGGACACAGCCACGCACCTGCCCTGCAGCCCCAACTTCCTGAGCACCGTGATTAGACGGCCACATTGTTTCCCAGTTGGAGCGTTTCTGAAAGGGTGCCTCATGGAAGTGACCTTACCCACGGGAGTCGTCCCACAGGAGGACCCAGCTCATAGGCCTGGGGGACCCCTGCTTTTCCTTCCCCAGCAGGCCAGAGCGTTACAAGTAAGAAGAAAACGTCTGATGGGCCATCCTTCCAGGCAAGGGCAGCCAGGAAGGTGTGGCAACATCTGACCAAAAGGGACCTCAAAAAGCATCAGGAGGACAAGTTGTGAAAAGGGGTTGCAACGATAGTGTGGAAGTGAGAAGCTGATGGCAGAACAGGGCCTTGTCGCTTTTGCTGCTGCGAGCCTGAGGTGCTAAGGTAGCCACTCTGATCACCAATTACTTCGATTGCTCTCCCTTTCTCTCCTCAAAGTCTCCTATGGATATACTACTTTATAACAAGATAATCAGTGTGCCTGTTATAACTAGCAAGACAAGTTGGTAATAGGAAAGCTGTTCTTACGTAGCAACCTGGCTTGTTCTTAGGTGGTACATGCACACCTGCGGGAATGCAGTCAAGCACTGCGGGGAACACAGGGTGGGGAAGGAGGCCATGTTTCCAAAGAGGGTCACTTTCCGGAGTCACGTGGGAGGTCACACAAGGATACTGCACGGGGAGAGAGTGATGCGGAAGGACAAATCTATCTCTACTCTTGACAGATTGTGTCAGGATATCTTAAAGGCATCCCCAGTGCAGATAACATGCTCACTTCCGCTTCGCCCTGACCTCCCACCGAGGTTTTGAGGAGCCCCAGGAAGCAAGCCTGGCCCAGCTCACTGGAGCCCAGCCACCTGCGTGTGCCCAGGCCTCCACTACTGCAGGCACACCCCAGGGGCAACTTATTCACACAGCACTTCAAGAACAACAAAGGAACACTTTTTGATACTGGCGGAGTAGACACCCCCTTTAACTTCCTGTGGTCAGCAGAAAGTGGGTGATGTGATGACTCAAGGAACAGATGGCAAGCGAGCTAGCTGCAAATGCAGCTGAGCTCCTCATCCACGCATTCACTGTCCTTGGGGGCCTGTTTCCTGGAGAACGGAAGTCAGGTGCTTCAAAGTCACCTCTCTCACAACAGAATCTGGCCCTTTCTAGTCAAGTGTCTGGCGGCAGGGTCGTCTCTTATTAGCTAAAGCTAGCAAACCTCGGTGGCCTTTCCTAGGCTGGTATCTCCACCCATGTTAGCAAGCTCCCAATCACAGGCACACAAGAGATTTGATTCAGCCTCATTGAAGACATTCTGACAGAGGGAGCGTGATGCAGTCCCTCAAGCCAGGCAGAACGTGTGAATGAGAATCCCAGGAACACGCAAGACCCTTCACCCCGTGTCCTTTCTGGAGCCTTCAGTGTGCCAGTGGAGACTGGGCAGGAGGCTGAGAAAGCAGACCCTTCACCCCGTGCCCTTTCTGGAGCCTTCAGCGTGCCAGGGGAGACTGGGCAGGAGGCTGAGAAAGCAGTGATAGGCGCTTGGAAAGAAAGGCAAGTATTGTTGTGTGTTACCTTTCGCTTCAGGGCTGCTGGTCTTTGCTGCTGACCTTGGTGGAGGAGGAGGACTGACACTGCTCTCTGACCAGCCTAATATTCAAAACCACAGGATGTTAGCTCCGGAGAAGGGCAGCGCTCTGACCCACCGCTTGAGGGGCACACACATGTGACCCCCACCCCATTGGGGCCCTTCCTGTACACCGCATCCTGGAAGACGCCAGCAGCCAGCACGAAGGTGTGGTCAAGTCACACATGTGACAATCCAGTGCAAACCTTCAAGGAGAACAAAAGCCCTTTCTCACCTTGTGCCCTGCCTTGCGATGGCAATGAACGTGTAATTCACCCATGACTCTGCAGTGGCGCTCCTGCCTTGCCTGACCCTGGCTAATGAGGGGCCCTCAGCACTCCTATGAGAGGGAAGCAGGGCTGGCTCCCCACAGCACTGGCTGGTCGGGTGGGATGTTCCGGCCTGACTCATACACTTTAGAGCTTTCTCACATGCTTTTCACATGTTTGTCTTGACATCTGTGCAAGTCCCGCCTTCTCAATGAGACAAAGCATGCTAAACCTGGTACCAGCAGCTGCTCACTGGCCAAGGGCAGGGCCGAGTCGAAAGGCTGCATGTGGACCAGCAGCCAAAGCATCACTGTTGGAACCAGGATGCTTGGCACAGCCGGGCCTTACCAGGATGTTTTTAAAACAAAAGTTCATGTCTCTAAAAGGGACCTTAAGAGAGGTCGTGTTTGGAGGCAAAGTATAGATGGGGCAAGGAAATTAACTCAAGGGCAAGAATGCTTTCTCATGTGCCCCGAAAATTACTGGACTTCAGGTCATGTACTCTGCCATGCTGAGACTCCTTCCTGCTGTGGGGGTGAACTGCAGAACCATGCTGGATTCAGTAGTTTGCACTTCTGTCTCATCGTAGACTCATGAACCCTTTCAGCTGGAGAGCATGCATCACCGTCCATCCCTCAGCCCTTTGCAGCACTGCCTGGCACACAGTGGATGTTTGACTCTAACATGACTGAATTAATATAAACTACTAAAGCAGGCTTTTCAACTGTGAGAAATTCAGCCATAAAGTATTATTTTTAGGAGGCAGAAAGCAGTGCCTGGCACACAACAGATACCCTAACACTTCGAATTATTTCACCTTGGGCAAGTGCATTCTGACTTTCCATGAAGACATCCAGTGAGTGGTGAGACAGGTGGCTCATTGTTTTACTTACAGGGCCTGAAACACTGGGACAAATGCAAAGGGTGGGCATTGTTACTCACAGGAAAGGAGCTAGAATTTATAATTAACTGAGTCATAAACAAGCAAGAGGAACAGGCTTGGAGGGAGTTTTCTGGGATGAAATAAAAACATCCTAACACTGGCTGTAAGCAAGGTTGGACAGGATCAATTTACAAGAAACTTTTGAACTGCTTTCTTAATGTGGGTGAACTTTATGGGAAATAACTTACAACATGACAGGCACTCAGGAAAAACTTCCTGGGTTCCTAGAAAACTGTCCAGTGCCTATTTTCCTCCTAAGCCCAAATCACGTGGAACAGTGATAAATGTGGAAAGTCAAAGTTGTGGTTCCACGGGCTTTGCCTGACAATCCCCACCACAGGCAGGGTTCTCAAACCTCTCCCGCACCCCAAAGAGTCCAAGCAAGGTCCCTACCAAGTGCCACAGCCTAGCTCAGTGACTTAGAGCACAGCGGCATGCTCTGCTGGTGAGAAATCAAGTTCACAAGTGACTGTCCACAGAGTCAGAACCCTTGGGGGTGAAGCCCATTACCCACAACTGTTAGGCACAGCTAGTATGGGAATTTCAGCCTGTAAATGGCCTCTGAGGCTCCCCGGAGTGCATACTGGGTAAAAGATCATGGCAGATTGCACTAGCAAGGAAACAAAAGTCTCATATTTGGATTTATTTGTGATGCTGAAATTTTAAAATTTAAGAGTGCCCACTTCAGCCCTCAGGGGCGGGGGTGTGTGTGCCACATAAGCTGTCCCAAGAACCCAAGCATTTGGTAGGTCCCCAAGCAGAGGACCTGAAGGAGATCGGGCCAAAGGCACCTGCTCAGGGGGCTGGAATGGGTGGCAAATGTCCTCGTGGACATTCCCAGGGCTCCCCGCTGCTGTCCGCAAGCTGCAAGGCAGAGGCTACCGCGGGCCTGCCAGGCATGTCCTCTGCCCGCAGCTTGTCTGCAAAGGAAGGGGTCAGCTGGTACGGAAGGGCTGCCAGCTCTTGCAAAGCACAGCCAGTACTAAACTCAGTGGCAGTCCCACCTGCACTCGCATGGCTGTGAAAATTATTTAGGGGAAGGGTGCAGTGATGGTAATTACAGAAGGAATGCCAAGATAGCTCTTAAATGCTTTGCCTCCTGTCGGGGAAAAAAAAAATGCTATTTAGAGATCTGTGAGTGGCTAATATTCCTGTAATCGACATCAACAGTTTTCTAGCTCATGCTAGCTGGCAGGGGCATTTCTATACGGGAGGATGCGGCCAGAGATGTTGTCCTGTCTCAGGCTCACTCGGTCTAGAAATGGGGTAGTAAAGGCTGGGGTTATAGGCCCCCCGGACCTGCATGAACAAAAAGACTGTGAGCTCCTTTGATATCGCAGATGTGCTATCCACCGGCAGGAAGTACATATACAATCATATGAGAGCGATCCTGCCCGCTTGCCTCACCTAAGGGAAAACAGCACCGAGCCAGAAGTCACACCTGCCGGGAGAGCAGTCTGAGCAGCCAAGTCTCACTGTCCAGAGCAGCACTTCACCACGAATGTGATTCCCTAGTGGGACGGGAGGTCCAGGCTGGACAGTGGGCCATGGTTGGGCCCTCTGGGTGGGGTTGCTGTGCAGGCCACAGTGGCCAAGCACTAGCTTACTGTCCCTAACCCCGGGCTTCTGGCTTGCAAGAGAGGCACTGAAATCCCTGCTTCACTGGGTTACTGTATGGATAAATGGGAGCTGCTGGGTGAAATCAGGTGGTAGAGAGGCCAGACAGTGGGCCATCAAGATGTCCACACTGGACACCAGGGTCTCATGCCAGGGCTGACCTGAGGCCATCACCGCAGGGCTTCACGGGACGACTGCTTTCTTTCAGTCCGGGGTTTGCCAGCGGCTCTCTTCCTCTCTTCCCTTGCATCTCTGCTTCCCTTTCTCCCCTCCTTTCTTCCTCACTCTCTTCCCATTTATCCATCTGCCCAGAAAGTACCTCTGGAACATCTCCTGTATTCCAGGCACTGAGCTAGGTTTTGGAAACACGATGCTAAGTAAACATGGGCCACGTTCCCACAATGACTCAGAGCAAGAGACAGAAAAATCAATTTGACAATAAGGAGAGGTGGGAGGAAATGATCAAGTTCAGGGTATGATGGGAGGGGGGAGAGAAACACCTAGAAGTGACTGCTGGGGAGGAGTCAGGGAGCACTTCCTGCATGGAGGGACAGGCAGGTGAGAGCCTGGGGATGAGAAGAGCTACATGTGTGAGGGAGTGCTGTGCTCGGAGAGGAGCGGGGAGCAGTGACAGGCACTGGAGTGCCAGTGCTGGCTGTAGGGCAGTCAGACACGGCTGGGATCCAGCAGGCAGAGGCTGTGCAGTTCTGCAGCCGTACCACGTCTCTATGCCCTGCTGAGGGCAGGGCAGCTCGGGCAGCCATGACACCAGGGTCAAGTCCTGGAGAATTTCACATAAGCCAAGCTGGAGAGTTCTTCAGTCATTTTCTTTTTAAAAGACTTGGGCCTGGCGGCATGGCCTAGTGGCTAAAGTCCTCGCCTTGAACACACCGGGATCCCATATGGGCGCCGGTTCTAATCCCGGCAGCTCCACTTCCCATCCAGCTCCCTGCTTGTGGGCTCTGGGAAGGCAGTTGAGGACGGCCCAATGCTTTGGGACCCTGCACCCGTGTGGGAAACCCGGAAAAAGTTCCTGGTTCCCGGCTTTGGATCGACACAGCACCGGATGTTGCACTCACTTGGGGAGTGAATCATCGGACGGAAGACCTTCCTCTCTGTCTCTCTTCCTCTCTGTATATCTGACTTTGTAATAAAAAATAAATCTGTAAAAAAAAGACTTATATACCTACTTACTTCTTTGAAAAGTAAAATAAAATAGAGGTGAAGACAGAGAGCCTCCACCTGCTGGTTCACTCCTCATTTGCTTGCAACAGCCAGGGGTGGGCCCAGCTGATGCTAAGAGGCAGGAACTTTGTGTTTTCTATGTGAGTGGCAGAGACCCAAGTCCTCGGGCCATCAACTGCTCCCATTCAGGCACAGTATTAGGAAGAAAAGCCAGGACTCAAGTTGGCACTCAGCTATGGAATACCGACATCCTCAGTGGGGGCCTACCCCACTCAGCCACAAAGCTAGCCACTGAGGGGCCAGCCATTTCTCAGCGGGTTGACTAACTACAGACATCATGGCAACTCACATGAGCCTGTGCGGCTCCCCATGCCCTCCTCTGTGTGTGTGTGGCTAATGGCCATCAAGGTCCCTTCCACGGACCTGTGCAGACCCGTCAGTCCTATCCATCTCCAAGCCTGCATGCTCCTCTGCGGGCTCAGAAGATGCTGCCACTTGCACAGGTCCAGCAACTCTTCTGGCTTCTGCAGAGCGCACCTGACACAGGTTCAGGTGTTTCCTTTGCTGTGTTACCCTGCTGTTTTCCAGGAGTGTCAGTTACCTGAAGCTGGGTGAGGCCAGGGAGGGTAAGAAACGAGCTCTGGTGCAGAAGGATGAATTTGAGGCTTGAGCCTGCATTCGTCTTAAAGGGAAACGTATGCAGAAGACCACTGCACCTGACAACATGGCACCCAGTAAACAGCCTGATGGTATGCCAGGATGCAGGCTGGATCCAGAACGAGAACACATATTCCACTATGCAGAATGCTCCCTCTAAAGCTCACCATGTGTGTCTGCTCTAAGCAGTTGTGAAGCTTTCCAGTCTGAGTGGCATTATGGATACAGGTGGAGAACCAAGAACAGACAGCCCGGGCCCTCAGGCTCGGCCCAGCAGCTCTCTGCCTGGCTCTCCTCCCACCCGCCTGCAGAGGCCCTGGGAAGGCACAATTTTCTCATCACTCTGTGACACAGGAAACCCCAGCTCCTAGCATCCCAATAACTTGAGAAACTCTTAGAAATCTCAGCTAAAATTAACCCCTTCTTTGGATTTTCAGTACCACTTGATCTGGCACATATTCCTTTGTTTTAGACTTCTAAGTCTTCAGTAGGAGGGAACTAAGGTGGAATTGTTCCCCTACTAAATCACCGTTCCTTGCCACTCCCTGAGAAGACTGGGAGGGAAGGGAGTGGCCAACTGGGAGCCCTCCAACTCTGTTTTCCAATGCCGTGACCCCTGGGCACAGCTCTAGGCCCTTCCAGTCAGCCAGACCCTAGCAACCCTGACAAGATAGCATGGGTATGCCAGGGCAAGGTGCAGGGCAGGCTGCTCTCAAGAGCCATGCAGATTTCCTGGGACCATCTCAGTTTCAAACAATCTATTCTAGATCATTGGAGCCCTGCAGCATGCAAAGGGACTCAATCACCCCACACCTGCTTATCCCTTCTGTGACTCCCGGGTGCCCCATCCCTGTGTGTGACCAGGAGGCTCAGGGAGGTCCAGTGGCACCTTCCTTGGTCCAGAGGCCAAGGCAGCACGTTTGCCACCCAAGACCCTGTCCTGAGAGGCCACAGGAGGTCCCAGGAACCAGCAAGTGTTCCAGAGTCAGGCTGCCCTAGGTGAAGGGCCAGCTTGCCCCTTCCAGGTGTGTGACAGCTGGCAGCTGTGTGCCTCTGTATCCCAGTCTGTGAAGCAGAACACTACCCCCAGTGTGGAAAGTGTTTGACGAGGACCTAGTGAGACTAGCATAAATGCAAGCACATGCAATAGAGCTTGGCACATGAAGACCCTCATAGCTCTGAAGCAAGGCTAACCTGTGGGGAGACACTGAGTCTGGGGACGCCTTTCTGAGAGGAGCTCAAGGGCCAGGGAGTTGGAGGGGCTTCCCTCCACTGCAGAGTGGGCGGGAGCAGTGAGGCTGTAGAAGCCTGGGGCTCTGACTGCTACAATGCCGCTTATTAGTGAGCCACTGGCCCAGGGAGCCTCTCTACTTGGTGTTTAGTCTGACTAATTATGTCAGTGGTTTAGTGAATATGGTTTTTGAGATGATCTGGTAACCAGGGGATGCAGTTTCAGTATTAAGTGGCAAAGAATAGTTATTATTAAACTATTGCATATACATGATTATTCACATATCTCGATGGATTATTCTAGGCTGTGGACGTTGTGAAAACAAAAACAAAAACTCAGGCCAACACATATCCTTCCCTCACTAGGGGTTGGCCTAGCTTCTGCGGCCTGTAACTGTCTCTCCCGCTACCTCGGACCCTTCCAGCCACAGTGACCTTCCTGTGGCTCAGGGAGCCTGTTCTGCAAGTCTTGGCTCAGCTGTCAGCTTCCCAGGGCAAGTAGAGTTTCAGTGGACAGCCCCATCTGCCTTGCCATCCCCAACTCTCTCCTGTCCCCGGCTCCAAGCTTTCCTTTCCCCTCTAACAGGAGCCACGTTTCACCCATGCCTGTGCCACTGGCTTGTTTATCAGGCTTGCTGCCCACTGTCTCCTCCTCATCAGAATGAGTTCCAGGACCACAAAGAGCTGCATGTGTTTTGTTCTTGGACAAATCACCAGTTCCCGGCATGCAGTGGGAGTCAAGAAATACTTGCTGGGTGAATGAGGGGCTTAACCAGGAGCCAGCGAGATGGCAACCTCAGAAGAGACTCTGCTGGCCTGAGAAATCAGCAGGCCCCTTTTAGGCCTCCCTCCTCCTTCCACTGCCTGAGACTGCGCTGCCCTACGCCCCTGAGGCCTGTGTGAGTTTCGGGTCTTTCCTGTGGATGTGGCTCTCTGCTCAGGAAGAGGGTGTGGGCTCTGAGTTTCAGCAGGAGGAAGGCGGGAGTTCTAGTGGCCACCGGTGTGCGGCCACTGCTGAGCCCTGCCGGCCGTGGGGACCTGAAGGGGGTTCACTCTGCAACACAGCTGGTGAGTCGCCAGCTGCCTCGAGACACAGGATGAGGATCTGGGGCCCCTACCTTCTCTTCCAGGGCTTGTTAGCACCCCCGCTTCAGGTGGGTGGGGGTGAAACTGGAGTTGGTTGGCAGCCGGCTTCCCTGGAGCACAGGTGAGGGGGTGGAACACAGGGCGAGAGGCAGGGTGGGAAGCATGCCTGGCTCGCCCTGATCCCTGCTCTCCCCACCCCAGGACTGCAAATAGCTGAGACAGACTCACAGAGGAAGAGGACAGAAGCCAGGCATTTCACCAAACGGGGTGGAGGGAGGACTGGTCCTTGTCCTGCCTACAGAACTCTGTGCCCATGATCTCATCTCTCAAGACCTGAGGCTCTAATAGCCCGTAATTACTTAATCCTCCCCACTCTGCCGTTTGTTCTCGGCTGGAAGTGCCAGATAAACACCCTGTTTATTACTGAGATAACCTGAATTCATAGAAAAACCAAAACACCGTGAGAGCTTCCCCAAGAGTGATTCCTCTCCGAGATTTAGAATCATGAAAGGAGGAAAAAGTGTTGAAAGAACAGAAAATGATTTCCTTCCTGAGATCTGAGCACTGAGAAGGTCAAATTTCAAACTTTAAATTTCAATCTGAGGTTTTGTTTCTGCATTAAAAAAATAAAATATTTATTTGACATGTAGGAGAGAGAGAGTGCATCCATCTGCTGGTTTACTCCCCAAATGGCCACAACAGCTAGGTTTGGGCAGCGCTAAAACTAGCAGCTAGGAACTCCATCAGGAACACCCATCTCCTGCATGGGTGGCTGAGGCCGAGCACTTGGACGAGGCCATTACCAGAGAGCTGATCTGCAACCCTGGGACTTGAACTGGTGTTGCAATCCAAGGATACAGGGTGTGGTGTTAGCCTGATCACTGTACCACGTTGCTAGCCCCTCATTCTTGCACCTTCATATTAGTGTCGTCCCTCACCCAGTGACATGTGACCTGTGGGGGAGCCCCATGCACCATGAAGCACGTGGAGGATGTTGCCTTCCTCATTTGATTGATATGCCAACTACTTTTGCTGTGGCTGCGGAGGCGCCATTTGGAGGTATTTTTCAGCCAGAACGAAACAGCTGAACTAGGGGATGCCTGAGGCAGAGTGGAATGGGTTGCGGCAGGGAGAGAGCAGAGAGGACAAGACAAAAGTCAGTGTGCAGGTAGAGTTCAGAGACTCCCTGCAGTGCCATCAGCAGCAAACTGGGGAGAGTGCATGTCCAGGAATAGAGGGACATGGCTACTTGTTTCTGGGAAAACTTAGGAGAATGTCCTCAAGGGGTTATGACCTGAAGGCAACCATCTCATATATGCCACAAAAAAGTCCAAAATTCAAATATGATTTTCAGACTGAGAACAACCCTCACGGTTGTTTTGGTTTATTCCACATTCACTTAATGTGGAATAAAAATACACAGAGCCCCCTCCAAATAGACATTTAAGACAGTGGGTAAAAATTACAAAAAAGAAAAAAGGAGTGAAAGAGAGAGCAGATATGAGGGTACTTCAACAGCTTGCAGAAAAATTAGATTAAAAGATAAATTCTGGTGCAGAAATTTGGGAAATTCATGCATAGTTTTCTCACTACACATTTTTGTCAAATTTGAAAACACCTTCTTGCGCATGGATTTCAAAACTGTTTTTGCATCAAAAACAACATATCTTCCAATTCTATTTCCAACAAACTTTTTCAAGTTTCCTGGTGTACCTCTGGATTAAAAGAAGGCAACAAAGAATGAACAAGGCAAAAAAATATTTTTTTTTCGATCCCAGCAGTACATACCTTGCAGTGAGGCCTGTAAGTCTTTCATATTTTGGTCCAAAAGCTGAGAGGGGAGGAAGCCAGATCCTGCCTGAGGCTTGAGGTCTGGCTCTCCCAGGACCATGGCAGCTGCAGGTTCCCTCGGCCGACCATCTCCAAACACTGCAGCCCACTCTCTGCCAAACTCGCCCTCCTCCAGGGAGGATGTGCTGAAGATCTCCGTCAGCAATTGCAAGTCATCTTTGTCGGCGCCTTCAGGGTCTGGGGTCCCTGCCCCGGGGCCTGGGCTAGCTGATGGAAGCAACAACACACAGTGCATCACCACAGAGTGCCCCATCCCAAGCCACAGACACTACTGGGCCATCTCTGCTTAAGCATATGGTCAATCAAAACACCTGAGATTCTCAAAAGTTCATGGAAAATGCTTACTATGCAAAAATTATATTGGATTTCAAAGCTTTTGTGCATCCAAATAAACCTCTTTTCATTCCCTCTTTTCACAATTTTGTAAAACCCCTTTGTACACACTCATCCTGCACTAGCAGTCTGTAGATCTCACAATTCAGTTTCCAGCCCCATGCTCTCAGAAAGCTTGTCCATCAAAGGCAGTACAATTTCTGAGTGCTAACAGTGGCGTGTAAACACTGGCCACAGAAAATGCCAGCGTCTTGGTTTTTCCTTAACAAAAAAGCAAATTTACCCAAATATTTCTTAGATCCAAAACAAAGCCAGGATTGAAAGCATGTTGGCAGCCACCCCACCTTCTTTTTTTAAAATATAGATAGCTCCCAGACTCTTTCCACACTGCCTGGACTGGAACGGTGAACACTGTGTGGCAGGCCTGTCCTGCCACTCAGGTTGGGGAGAGAGACCTCACTGTGCCCTGCCCAGGGAGGAAAGGGGGTGCAGAGTAACCAAGAAAGGCACCCTTGTGTCTTCCATGGCTGAAATCACAACCTTATGGAGCACAGGAAAGGAGGACCCAGGAGGACCCCAGAGAGGGCACCCCTGGGCCACAGGCACAACTCTGAAGGGTTAACATGAGTACCCCTGACTTCAGCAAGAGCCTGCATGGTCACGGATCTCTGGACTGTCATCCCTAAAGTTACAATATTCATCATGCCTACCTTGGGGTGTTGTCAGGAAGATGAAAAGAAATTGCACCTTAACACTTAAGAGGAGATATCCATCCTTGGAAAAAGTGCACTGACAGAATACTGAATACTGGGACCAGGAGGACGGGAACACGCTGCCTACACCAAGACCTTTCGTTGAGTTTTCTAAATATTATGAGAACAGGGATGGATGGATTTATTAACTGTGGTTTTGTGGTAGCACTTCATTGTCACCTGGAAACTGAACATTTTATTGTAAGTCATAAAGAGAAGAAAAAAAAATGGCAGCATTGCAATCTCAATCAGCTTTATCAAGTGGTATTATCAGATGTCCCTCAAATCTAAAAGACAGTAAGAGAAGTCTTGTTCTCTTTCTTTCTAAAAACAGAGCTCTCTGTGTTGACTTCCCTGGGTCTACTTCCAGGCACACTTTACATAAAAGATCTAAAGATGAAGGGGACTTTTTGATGTTGTTGAGCTTGGCTATAAATTAGGGAGGGGAGGGATCCAGTCCTCCTTCCTCCTGGTTTTAAAAGAGTGGGAAACATCACCTTCATCAGCCAACTCTCTAATGTAATTGTTTTTACTGTTTATTTTATCAAAAACATTTTCTCTGAGACAGAGCCTGTAGGCAAGGCAGGTGCGAGGTTGGGGAGGAGGGTATGTTCAAGCTTCTGAGGCAGCAGTGTGACCACCCAGGCTTGTGTGTGGCCAGTGTGGGTAGGGCCAGGTTGGCAGCTCCATCTGTAAGGAGTTGGACCCAGGTGGGTCCTAAGCATGTGTCCGTCAACATGTGTGCCCCTTCCTCCCCCTTCTCGGCTCGGCCCTTGGGACCCAGACCAACTTACAAACCTCTGCACTTCCTCCTTTCAAAGGCGCTGTAATACCCCAGCCCTTTCAGTGGTTTTCTCTCCGACCTGACTGAAACCAGATGATGACTGAACCAAAGCCCAGTAACATGGAACCAATTCCAACTGAGGGTGACTCGAAACCAGCCTAGGGGATGACACACTATCCCTAGGGTCATTTGAGAAGACATTCCTCTGAGTCCAAGGGGTACTCTTCCTTGCTGTCATTGACGTGAGTATGTATCACTGCATCAGCAATGACAAACGACACAGAGCCCTGTAAAAGCAAGCAGGACTTGGAAGTCCTGTCCTGGTGCTAGGGGGGACTTGGTGACGGTACTTAAAGTGACTTCAACACCTCTTCCTCTTCCCTCTTCTTCTTTAATTCTCAGGTTCTCCACATGACCCTGGCATGGCAGCTCTATCCTAAGAGCTGCCTCAGAGTTCTCCATTTCTCAGGCCTGGCTCCATGACAGACACCTGCTGGAGGCTTCTCCGAATTGGTACAGGTACACTGCATAGGACCTCTGATTTTGCTTTGGGATTCTAAAGTGCAGTGATATCATGTGGACGGAAACAGGTTGATAAAGTGGAGTGAGACTCCTGATAATGCTGCCGGAGCTTCTGGATCCAGCCCATCCCTGTATGTGCTCAGTTATACGGACTGATTTTTGTTTTTAAAGAGTTTTAAACCTAAACTGTTTGATTAGGGCTTTTATCCTTGTAACCCAAATATCCCCAATACCATATCCCGTCAAACTCAAACTTCTTAGCAACAGAGATGAGAAAGTATGGGTGATAAGGCCGATATTATCTAGAGCCAGGTTTGAACACAAACTTGGTCTACATCGAAGTCTACCATTGACTTTGGCCTATCATTTAGCACCCTGGTTATTCAACAGTTAAAGCAGGCTGCACAGTGAATTTTTTCACTTCAAGAGAACTTATTAGCTAAAAGCAATGAAACTGGCACTGCCTTGAACCATAAAACATGGAAGCTTCCAATTATTGCACTGATAATTAAGATGCTTGAAATTACTACACATAACTTGTAAGAAAAAACTTAATTACAAGTAGAAAAGGACACGTTGAGGTCTGTATTCAGACAAGTCAAGACTTGAGAAATAACACCAGTCACTTGGCTCAGGAGAACCATGCTATCATTTGCTTTGAAAATAATTCCACCCAACAGAGAAAAAAAAAACCAGGGATGCAAGCAGAGATGATAAGGTCTGACAGCAGCTCCTGTGCCCACCCCATCGGAGCGAGAGCTTCCTCCCATGTAGGCGAGCAAGTGCTGCTACTGGCTCATGGCATTTCATCCTGTTTTTATCTGAAAGGAAGAGCAAGGGTTGGGGAGCACTCTGGTGCCAAACCCACAAAGCTCCTCCAAGCCCTCTTCACTCTCTTGTAGGCTTCACATTAGATAACCCAACCACAGATGTTACCATAAAAATAAGGGCCAACAGACATGACGTAGCCATGTTCTCACCCCTCTGTCTCCAACTCCATGACCCTCCGTCCATCCCCCTCCCTGCCATCTCCTTCCAGGAGCCTCCTGTGTTCCCACCATTATTGGGCTCTGGCATCTTTGGTCTCTGCTCCTTCAGTCCTCCTCCCCCTGGCCTGAGGGGACTTGTGCTCATCCCCACAACAACCACTCTGCACCTGGTATTACTGTCTACTCCTCCTGATGCCTCCCTCCTTCCACAGCCGTACACTATGTCTCTACCCTTTATTCACCTGTCTGGAATTAAGTTCCTGTCTATCTCCTACACTGACATGGCTCTCTTGAAGCTATAAGGTAGATTCTCCTGATGAATTCCAATTCTCTTTTCTTGAACCTTGACCATAATAGTATTTTGTTTGCACCACTGCCTCGCTCTGAAAATGATGTCATCCTGGAAGCCACCATGAAGAGGGTCTTGCACATAACCTGCCACTTCCTTGAAACTACCTTCCTTGCTGCCTCTTTCTAATCTATTTGCCCTAAGCTCTCACCATGTGACACCATATCTGTCTTGCAGTTTCTACCTGTTCCCATACTTCCAATCCATCTCCAATTCTAGGTTCTTTCTCAAACTCTGATGACAAATTTTTATGGGGGAGGAAAGATTAGGTGTGAAGCCTCCAAAATTTGCCAGTTAGCTAGGATGCTGGCACTCTACAGAGGCCCCCTTCTGCTGGGGTCTTTGTTGAGTCCATTATGAAATGAATCCCTGGCTCAAAATCCTTCAATGGCTCTCCAGGGCCACAGAGTAAAGTGGCACTCATGCTGCCTTTGGGACCTCCACACTTCAATGGAGCCCTTTTGGTGAACGGCAAGAAGCCCACGACCCAGCCAGCTCCTCTGTTTGTGGAGGCTGAACATGCTTTGCTGCCTTCCTATCTGTTTCAGGACCTGCTGGGTGAGAAATCAATATATCTGTCTCTACAAGTTCATCTTCTTTGACTCATCTGACAGAGGACACCCAGGTGAGATGAACTGTCTGTGATCAGAAGTGATGTGTTACAGGTCATTTGGTGGGGGACCCTTGACTCCCAGGTCAAGGTGCTTCCTCACTGTGGTACCCTGTCTGCTCATGAGACTATTCTGGATCTCCCATGTAAACTACATGACAGTTTTAATAACAGATGCTTTTGCCTGCCATGGTATAGCGGTCAAGGTGCCGATCCGATCCACCCAGCGTGCTTCTCCATGATGCTCTAGGGTTAGAACATAAAACCCTGTGCCCCAAGAGAAACCATACACCAATGAGCTCTACATGCATGATGACCCACAGGCAGGGGAAGCTCTCTGACGTTCGGCCTGTGGGAAACTGGTGACAACTCACTCAGGTAACATTTTTGAAATCATACTGAGTTTCATGACCTCAGCATAAATGAGGAATGCAGAGGATGGAAACATAACTACACAGACTGAAAATGAGAGCACAGGAAAACAAACAGATAAATGTCACTGCACCCACCTTCAGGTGCGTGTGAAACAGGAAGACTCGGCTCTCTGCTCTGCACTCTCCTCTTATGACTAATCTTAAGGCTGCACATTTGCAACACAGAAGAAAGCCCCCCACTTGACCCCACACAGACTCTTTCCTCACATCACCCAAAAGATGGCAGAGGCAGGAGGGATAGAAACCAACTTACAAAAGTATCTAACAAGAAACATATTCATCATAGAAGGCTCTGGTCAGAAACTGTATTTGCTTAGAATTCAATAATATGTCTTGTAAAAACTCCCTTCTGGTTTTAAAAAAAAACAGACATTGATATAATACTTGATACAATAAGAACAGATCAGGGAACCTGCCACACTCCGATTCTGAAAACAAAACAGTACATCAATAGAGCAAAACATGAACAGCACCAAATACTTGTTGATCACCCCCAAACCTGGCCCCTCATCTCAATGCTCCATCTCAGCAACCAGACAACCTTACAGATTGCACGGAGCCCGAGCCAGGGTCAGTGTCTCTGGGATCTCCATGAACATCTTTCTGGAGTCAGTCTACATGGAATACTAACAACTTTCTAGGAGTTCCCAGGAGGAAGCGCAGAGAGCTTCAGAGTATATCATTGCTTCTTGGAAGGATCAAAGGTGGCAGCACATTCCAGAATGCCGAGGAGAGAGGGAAGTGGGGACATTGCTGAGGAAAGGTAGGAGCTTTGGGTTTGGAAACTGTGAGACACCTAATCCCTACTGTGTAGTACGTAACCCTGAGTACTAGGAGAAGGCTGAAGGTACTCCTCACCACACGTGACAGTGGGCCATGTGGCCAGAGTTAAGACCTACCAGTCCAGAAATAATAACTGAGGGAGCAGCAGCAGCTTTTCAGTTGTTGTTTGTTGTTTTTATTTGCTTTTGGCTTATTCTTGTCCCAGAGAAGGGTCTTTTGGGCAAGTTCCAGTCATAAGACTTAGATGAGCTGAATTCATCCACCCCCCTTCTGCTTTTACCAACACTTTCGTTCAGTCTTACGGTAGTTATTTTTCTTGGTCGAATTTGAAGGAACACAAACAACTTCTATACAGACTGATGGCAGACTGTCACATTTGCTTGCCCAAGGATACTGTACAGCCAGTTTCATGGGTCTCCAAATGTCAATGGATGCTTTTATCATTGAGGATGGTTTTACAAATTATGGTCAAATACTTGCTTTCCACTACAACATGCATTCAGTAGGAGAAAGCACGCTTCACTGTGAGACTGAATCAGAGTGGTTTTGGGGCCGTTGTTTGAGAATGGTCACTGCTGTCTTGGTAACATCGGACTTCAGCTTATCCATGCCGTCTCACAGATTTTCCAGTGGAAGTCAACTGACCCCACTCAGCAGAGCACTGCAGCTCTGTAAAGTCAGTCATTTCTGGATTAAGCTATTTTACTCTTGGTTTAATGTCTTTTATGTTCTAATCAACATCTTAATTAGGGAGTTGGGTCTTCCAACAGTTTCCCAGGGGCACAATCTGAAGTCCAGAAATCAGTGAGCGTTTTCTTCAGTCGAAACAAGTACTCCATCACCAGGAGCATCTGTTCACACTCATGGTCATGGGCGTGTCTAAGCTGATGCCACCTATGGGTTTCTGATACAACAGGAGAGGCAGCCAGTGGGAACACATTGCTGGTGCCTGACGAAGCAACGTGTGGGTTGGTGATGACATAGAGAAATGAGAGATCATGACATTTCCCACCACTGGGAAAGCTGTTTTCTGATGGACAATACATAATGTAAGGAAGAACATAGTTAAAACTCTATATTTGGGAGTAAATTAAGTGATCAAAAATGGTATCTGAAAAAAATGGCATCTGAATTACCGCTCTACATAGCTCATGGACACGGATATTCCAATGATAAGCCAATGAAGTAGGAAAGGTTTTTTTTTTTTTTTTTTTTTTTAAAGAAATAGAAAGCTACCATATTATCCCAAGGCATCTTAGCATTCAAAAGGAGTTTGTGAAAGTAAGCATAAGGCCTGGCGTGATAGTGTGATGGTTAAGGTCCTTGCCTTCAACACGCCTGGATCCCATATGGGCGCTGGTTCTAATCTACTTCCCATCCAGTTCCCTGCTTGTGGCCTGGGAAAGCAGTAGAGGACAGCCCAAAGCCTTGGGACCCTGTACCTGCATGGGAGACCGGGAAAGAAGTTCCTGCATCCTGGCTTCAGATTGGCACAGCACTGGTCACTTGGGGAGTGAATTATCAGACAGAAGATCTTCCTCTCTGTCTCTCCTTCTCTCTATATATCTGCCTTTCCAATAAAATAAATAAATCTTTTTTAAAAAGAAAGCAAGCATATATCTCAGAGAAGCAGCACTTCTGATTTAATTCTATGAAGAAACACATGGCTGCTACCTAGATCACCCAAGCCCAAAGCTAAGAAGACTTTAGACTCATGTTTGCTATGCCTGTGGAAAGAAACACTGGCAAGTTACAGTAAGGTTGAGGATATGTTGAAATTGAAGTGGGGGCAGGGAACAGGAAAGAAAAAGTTCATGTATTTTTTCATAATTGTTTTGTTTTTGCACTAATGTGAATGTTACCACCTACTCAAAAATTACACTTGTTAAGATAATTAAATACGTTGATAATAAAAGCAAAAGAGAATGATATGAACAAGTTGTTGGGAATAGCAGAAACAATTCTATTAAGGTGAGTTGGAACCTGAGTCTAATTGTAAATATCTTCACTAAATATTAAGACTTGCTAAAAAATGGGTAGTGAGGATCTAGGTTTCATTATATTATTATCTATATGTCACTTTTAGTAAGATTAAGATATTTCTCTCTTGGAAAAATAATTTATAAAAAATACATTGCATCAAAGTATTCTATTTTCAAGACAGGCTGAATTTTTTTTTTTTTTTAACAAAATGGAGGTCATGTGTGGCACTCTGCATTCGCTGCTTGCTTCTGAACTTCATCATCTGCCTTGATGTCAATATTTGCACAGGACCAGTCATTTTGATAAAATACACAAACCGTCATGACTTGCATCTGCTGCTGTCTGGCCAGGTATTACTAAAGTGGTATATTTCAACCTTGGACATGCTCTAACCAGTGTCCATCAGTCCCTTCCCCCCAAGACTCTCTTCCTCTCACACTCTCTCAGTGAAAACCACCTGGAGCTCAGGGTGAGTCCAGCTGTCTGCCCTGCTTGGCCCACAGAGTCACCTTATCCCATAACTAGTCCCATAAGAAACCTGTGAGATCAAGGCACACTGCAGTGCCAGCCCCCAGGGGATGGGTGTGAGTTTGGCTCAAGGGTGTTTTAAACTTTTAGCAAGCCATTAAAATAAAAACTCTCAGTAAGAAGAGAACAAAGGCTAAGCTGAGGCTGAACTTACTCAGTTTCCTGCAATCACTGAATCACCACTGCCATTCAAATCCATGGCTCTGAGTTCTCTTGGAGGTTGTCTAGTGACTCTGGGTCTCATGAACTTGGATGCAGGGCTTTCCAGACACGTATGCCCTGCATTTAACAAATAACTACGGCTGCATGAAGGTAGGAAGCCACCTGCACTACTTTCCTAGTCTGATCTCAACTGATTATCCTTTAAAAAGACACACTGGCTCAGAGACCATGAAACATCTTTACATAATGAGTTCTCCAGTCCTGAAAATAACTCCATCAGGCTCTTGCTATTGGTTCCATTTCACAAATGAGGAATTTTGGTTTAGAGAACTTTAGTATAAAGCAAATGAGTCAAGAACCAGTATTCACACCTCCATCTGATTCTGAAATTCATGTCTTCTCCCTATTACAGCATGTGCCCTTCGACAGAATGCTCTGCTTTAGTAGTTTACACATGATGAAATTAATTACAGTGATGATGAGACACTTAGATCTTCACTTGTGCTTGTGCATATTTGAAGTCATTAATAGTGACCTAAACACAACCCCTTAGAAATGCAAAAAAAGAAGAACAAAATTTAAATTGCAACATGGAAAAAACGCATAAATCTTACCACCTTCTTCAGATTTCATGTATAATAGTCCATCTATGGGTTCTTCAGAGGAAGGGAAAGAAAATAAAATGATCAGGTTTTCATTTTATAAGAGATTTGAGTCAAATTATTAAAACTGAGGAGCCTTCTTTAATCTAGCTTACCTGAACATGCATCATTCATCACACTTTTGTCTAGGGCAGAGAAAACATCTTTTCCATCTTCGGCTGTAATATAACACATGTGGCTCGTCAGCATCAGCTCAGGGTGGTGTGTGCGCTCAGTTTCCATTGCAGTGTAAAGCAAGTGCACAGCAATCAGAAGGAGACATAGCCACCAACTCATTCATGCAGAAGCTGGGATCTTCAGATTATATTTCACCTTAGCTATTGGCTCTCAAGAAGTGCTATTAACAGCCCTAAATCTTTGCTTGGTTGGGGAGGTAACTTGAAACTATGTGACACCAATCTAATAATTCTCCTTTTATGTACAGACGTGATTTAAGCAATTGACAATGACCTGATGATGCTAATGAGCATTAGCCATATGTGCCTGGCTGAAGTTAAAAGGCAGCTAAGTGAAGAAAAAAAAAAAAAAACAAAACCAGGAAAGGTTACCAACTACATGGGCCTAAATATGCATTTAGCTGCTGCGTATCACTTCAACCAGCAATAGGCAATGCTACGGAGACAGTAAACCAATGCTGCTTGCCAAGAAATTCAGACAAGGGGAAATAAACAGGTGGAACACAGAGGACATTTTGGGCAGTACAAGTATTTTGCATAGTATTAAAATCTCCAATACCCACAAAATGTACAATGCCAAGATTGAGCCTTAATGTAAATTAGTAACTTGGGTGATAATGATGTCTTATGCTGGCTCATTGATTACAACAAATGTACCATTCAGATGCAGGACGCTGGTAATGAGAAGAGCTATGTATATATGGGGACAGGAAACACATGGAAAGTCTCTGACGTTTGCCTCTAATTTCCCTCTGAACCACAGAATAACATTAAACTTGACCTGCTCCTGTGTTCCTTAAATTTTCTGTAGCTCACATAGTAAGAGACAGATGACACTTCATTAAAATAGCTTCCACTCTGTATATATATAAAATAAGTGATTGACATTTATAACCTCAAAATATTATGCAAAAACCATACGTGGTTATCCTGTGCCAAGGAAACAGAAAATCCGACTCCTCTGCATTGTCACTTATTGTGTGAATATATAATATTTATAGATTCATAAACTGCATACGGATACAATATACTGGAGTTTGTATTTCCCTGGAGATCTGAAAGTTTTCTGTTTGATGACCCTGATTCATCTGTTAGCGATTCTGTTATTCCACTGAAGAATGCTCAAGGTGAGTCTTGGACGGATGTAGAAAAAGAGCTGTTCCATGGCCAGATGAGATCAGGGCCAGTCTCTTCACCTCCTCTCCAGCCTATTTCTACCTGCTTACATTCTATAACATTACTTCTCTGACCTTCATGTGATCCTCCTGCTTCACAGACTCTGCCTTGACAAGGCCTGTAGTAGAATTTGCCTGAGTTTGCTCCCTGAGCCCCTCAACTAAGTTAGGTGCCTGCTCACATGGCCAGGGCCCTTGCCACTTCCCCTTTGCTGTGTTCCCCAAAGCAGGAACTGCTGGGTTACTTGTAGGGTACCATCTGCTCTTCCTTTTGACTGGGAGCCCCATCAGGAAGGCCCAAGTAGATCTGGCATCCTCCTGTCTGCCCAGAGCCCAGTGCCATGCCTGGCACCAGGGCACCTCTCAGTGGACATCTGCTGAGCAAATGAACAATCCATGGGTGAAGGCAGACATGTGTGAATGGATGACAGGAGGCCAAGCATTAGAAGAGACATACTGAGCCATTTTGTATTCAAAGGCAGACAAGAACAAAGCCAATGGAAGAGTGAAGTAAAAGACAAAGTGGGCAAAGTAAGGCGTTGGCAAAGCAGGAACAGGTGGGCAGAGGCAGGAGGTGATGAATGACCCACAGGGAAGCTCTAGGATTGCCCAGAAAGATCAGCAGAGCAAAGGGTGCAGCAGGCACAAGCAGACAGGTTCTGGTGAGGGCAGTCTGAAGAGAGGGCTGAGCTGAGTTTAGTTCTACTGCAAAGAGAGGCAGAGCCAGGAAAAAGCTGGCAGCCATGGCAGGGGTGGCAAGAGCTGATGAGCCCTTCGCAGTGCATCGTGTCATCTCCCAACCTTGAGCCCTGTTTCGACCATGGCAGGTGCAGCTGGTCTGAGTTAAGCGGTGCCAGTCACTGCAGGTAGGCTGAGGAATCACTCAGCCAAGCAGTGTCTGAGCTGTACCATCTCCATCTGCCCTAACAATGACCAACACTCTCACAAAGCTCCCCAAACCAAACTCCCCCAATGCAATAATGTCATTTTATGAAGACTATCAGAAATAGTATGAGAAACAGCAGAAATTGTAGTGTCTGCCATGCACTGGCTTTCTGCCAGGTCTCCCATATGCCTGCTTCTTGGAAGCTTGGCTGCTGAAGTGACTTATTTCATGAAATTTTTGAAGTCTCCTTGTAAAATCTTTCAATAATGCTAGTGGTTTGACCTGATTAATACTTGAATATGTAAAGCTGACACGAGGGAAGCATATTAACATGCCTCTTGTCCACTAGAAAAGCATAAAGGCTCAAGGAGGAGTTTGCACAGAGAAAGCGAGTTGGCTATGGAGCAGAGAGAAGCCAAATAAAATTCAAAACTTACTCTTAGAACAAGAGGAGTCCTTACGCTGGTTTTCATCCTCTATAGAGATCAATCTTGAAAGGAAAACAAAATCTATGGTTATCAGTTTCTATAATTGACAAACTAATGACATAAGCAATAAAGATCTATTTCTCCACTTATAAGGACAACAACAACACACACTCGTGTGTGCACAAAGAAATGACTATACAGTCATGTACAGTCTGTACACCTTCTCAAGCAGAAATACATTGGCTGGCTTTCTGTCCCATTCCACAGGGATTGGTTTCATCATGAGGCACAAAATCTGTATCTAGATGGGTCATCAGGGACAAGAAAGACAACAGTAAAACACCAGTGGTTAGAGGCAGTGCATTCCGATTCCTGTTATTATAAGACAGGACACTCCATAAGGTAAACTCTGACAGCATGAGGTAGACAGCAAGGTCCCCGTCAGTCTAGGCTATTCATCCATTGCCCTGTCTTTAAAGACAAACACCTCACTCGTTCATTGCCTCTGAGCTTTTCACCTATTGCCAGGCCTCACTTTCCCTGTTCTTCATGAACTTAATTTTGTTAAACATTCACAGTCATTCTAAATGGTTTCCAGGAATTGCCTTTGATACCTTTACAAATTATGACAGACTAGCAAAGGTTAGGAATTTGAATTTAGTTCATATGACTCAAGAAAATCCTGGGTAGTTCTCTTCTGAGCAAAGGTGAATGCTTTGTTTGGATTGCATTTGGAATGCTTTTGTTTGGATTTATTTTTACATGGTAAAAATAAAGTGCTAGAACTCACCTTTTACTACACAAAAACAGTGGGCAGGCCATTAACAAACACAAGCCTCATCTCCATCAGTTACGCTACAGGGAAATGCTTGCATACAGAATACTTTGGATTACTGTGGCACGGAGTAACACGCCCAAAGCACCTAACATTCTGCCAGGCATACAGTTGCCCTTCATTTCGTGATGGCTAAGTGTTGTTACCATTGCCAGCAATAAGTTAAACATGTTCTTAAAAATAGCCAACTGTTGTAGATGATAAAGATCAGATTCTACAGCTGGTTCTACAGTGAAAACTGGCTTAATTTTCCACAAATGAAACTTTTTAGGGTTTCCTTTAAAATAATTATTAGCAGATAATTAATAGCAGAAAATATTCCTGTGGGACAAAAATACAACTGAGTTTTTGTTCAGAAAGACAGTGCAAATATAAGCCTGTATTATTGTAGAGTCTCATTCAAGTATTCTGTGTGAGAAAGGCACAGCAAGCAGAGGAATGGTCATTTATTTCCCAATGTCAGGCAGTTTGAGGATTAACCACATCCTGCAGGCTATTCCGTCTCCCAAGAAAACCACAGATTCACATTTGAACCTTGCATGCACCATACATGCTGTAAAGTTCATCTTTAAACTAATGGGAGGCATCTTTTTTCGATAAAGGGCTAGAAATGGAGATGGAGTAGCCACTTCCTGCCATGGAAGCCACTTGCCCTGCTTCACAGAGAAAATATGAAGTCTCAGCAGAACAAAGCAAGATGTCAAACTCCACATTTTCACAGACCATTCCTTCAATGCTCTGTGCAACATGAAGGCAATCATATAGGTTATCCTATCTCTAAGGGCAAACCAGGGGATTCCCTGTTGAGGATGAGACCTCGTGAGTCAGTGACATAAGAGCAGTCAGGGTCTAGACCCTGTGAACATTCAAGGCTGGGGCCGAGACCCCAAACAATCAGGCCATGTGCAAACACTTGGAAACACTCAAGGCTGGGACTGAGACCCCAAACAATCAGGCCATGTGCAGACACTGGCCCTTCCTTGCTGCGGTCAACTTCTCATGAGTGTGCCCCTTCTAAGTACCCCCAGATGTGGGGCTCTTACTAGGATAAGTGAGGCACAGACCCGTAGGCACAAATGCTTCAGAAGTTTGACCTCGATGTGTGTTCAACTTGGAAACGAGGAAGCAAGACAATCACATGTGTCCAAGGCACTGGTTAGACCTGGTGCTATCCTCCCATCAAAGAAAGACTGTGCCAGGAAAGGAACCCGTGACTTACTGACTCGACTCCTGCGTGGGCGCCTCTATGCTCTCCTGTTGGGTGATCTTCTTCTTCTCTTCTTTCTCAACTAGTTTTTTCATTGGGTCTTGCAAGCTCTTCAACATGCAGCATGGATATGCAAGAAAGGGAGGGAAAGAGGGAGGGAAAGAAAGAGGGAGGGAAAAGAAAAACCCTCAATTAGAAAACTCAACTGTCACAGGTTCCAGTATCCCATGAATTAGGGGGTTTGGAAGATTAATCTTGAACCAATCAAGAGGACAGAAATAAATGTATATATCAAAAGAACAATGTTCCTACACCCATCCAAGAGTTGGTTTCCTCCCTTATGTTTGCCCCTTTGTGAAACGTTGTTTGCAAGAAGGCCTTTTGGCTATGGCTAACTTTATTTTCCAACTTCAACATGCAACTAAGATAAACATTCTGTTCTGCTGGCAGCCCACACACTGACAGTAGCAACTCCCTACCACCGAAGATGAGACAATTTTATTTTATTTCTAACTTTGTTTGCTGTTTTTGCAATCTAAAAGCTGCTTTTAGAAAAATAGCAGAAAACAAAAACTTTTTTTTTCCAAACCAAAAATAGTGGTTGAACACATTCTGACAACTCCCACACATGGACAGAGTAGTTACATCAAATCTTGGCAGATTAAAAGTGGATAAAAGTCGTTATTGGGCACACTTTTGTTAGAATTATTGTTTTCAAAGTTTATTAAATATTTAAGAGGCATTTTTTTTTTACAAAAGTAAATTCCCTAGGATACCAGGGAAAAGGAATCAAAAAGAGAAAGCAAAAACTAAATAAGAAAGAAGACAAAAGCAACCTTTTTTCTGACCCTAAATAAAATACAAATACATAAATCCGAAGGAAACATGCCAGGATATTTATCTTTCTTTGGTTCTCAGAATTGTTAATAGCCAAGTTCTCTTCCTTAGGCATTCATGTCTCTCCTGGGTTCCTCCTTTGTAGAGTTCACTGCTCCAGTGAAAGTACTGCCCTTGATCAATTAGTGATGGCTTACTGGGTGGCTGGGTGGGAATGATTCTAAGGCTGCATCAGGGCAGAGCAGGGCAGAGCAGGGCAGAGCAGGGCAGAGCAGAGCTGTGACTGTACTGCAGTCTGCCACGAAAAGCAGGACACTGGTATGACACCACCTCGCTGCCAGCTCTCTTCCCCTGCAGAGTCACCTTCCTAAACACCCATGTCATCACGTTGCCTTTTCTCTCAGCAACCTACGTGGGTCCCCTCCGACTTCTAGTATGAGCCTGTGCACCTGATTTTAAGGATCTTTCTACAAAGTGTCCCATTTTCACTCTTCAAGTGCACCCAAGCACGGGCTTTCCATTCCTCAAGGTGCCCTGCGTGCTCTCTGCATGTACCTTGCTCTCTTCCTATCTTTATTCATTCTATCTGCGCCCCCTCAAAAGTCCCAGCAGTCATTTCGAAGCCCAAATCAGTGACCACTGTTTTTGGTAAAGCTTCATTAAATGTGTCTTTAGGGTCTTGTTCATATTTGATCATATCTAGCCTGTATTAATTTTGTCTCCTAATAATTCTTTGTGCTTATTTATTTTGATACATATTACCTCATCTAATAATAATATGTAGTAATTGCAAGATATAATATGCAATAATGAAAAGATAGGATTTTGAATATTTTCCTCCAATAAGACATGTTGCTAGATTCAGAAGATATTATTTACCCTGATTAGGCATCATACAATGCACTAAAATATTACCTGGTATTCCATAAATATGTTCATTTTTAGTAAAGTACTTTTAAAACTAAAAAATAGTAGAACTACACATAGAAAGTTTGGAAAATACAAAAAGTAAAAAAAAGCAATTATAATCCCACTAACCTAAAATTTATTATTTTTACAATTTTTTATACTATTTATATAAATTGAATTATTACATATCTATTATTTATAATCAGTCAATACTCTTTAATTTGTATATGTTAATAATAAAAAAATAATGAGAGTGGAGGGTATAAGACCTTACACATTTACTATTGAATTGAAATAGATAAATATGCATTCATTCACCAATATTCCATTGTAGACCCAAACTCTTTGACTTTATATCCCATGACTTGAGTTCCTAAAGATTTTCTTGCATAAAGCACACCCATTAGTATTATTTAATATTTTCAATTTGCACATAAAGTTACACACATATTTAGCATATACACAATGTGCTAGTTTGATACACACAGACATTGCAGAATGTTCAAATCAGGATGGGTCTGTTTACATCCTCAAACACTTATCATTTCTGTCTGATGAAAACATTCAAAACCTTTCTGGATCTTTTAAAAACATACAGTGTGGTTTTGTTATTTGTGGTCATTAGAACTTATTTCTCCCATGTGAGGAACTCAATACTAACCTGGTCTCACCTCTCACTCTCCCCTACTGTCTCCTAGCCCCATTAATCTGCTATCAACACCCACAAGAATGATATTTTTAGACTCTGTACAAAAAAGATCATGCGGTATTTCACATTCTGTTCTTGGCTTATTACACTTAACATAATAACCTCCAATTCCACCCCCACCCATGCTGTGTGGCAAAAAAAAAAAAAGGGTTTCATCCTTTCTGTGCCTGAGTGGTGTTTCCATGATGTCTATGAATCACACTTTCTTTATGTACTCATCAGCTGGTGGACCCTTGTTTCCACTCCTTTGCCACTGAATGGAAAGATCAGTGAACGAACTGCATAGCCTTTGATGGCATGTCCAGCAGGACTGCTAGTGATGTCCAGCAGGACTGCTAGTGTTGTCCCGCAGGCCTGGAGTTCACACAGCCCCCAGCCAAGCAATCAAGCCAGAATCACAAAAACAGAAAGCATCTAGGTTCTTCACTGGATCATATGATACTTGTATCTTTAATTTTTTGGGGAACCTCTACACCGTCTTCGGAAATGCCTGTATCAATTAACATTCCGACCAACAGTGTGTAATGTGCGCACTATTACTCTCATCCTTGCCACACGTATTATCTTTTGTCTTTCTGATAACAGCTACTTTAATTCTGTAACTTTTTTTTTAAGATTTATTTATTTTTACTGGAAAGGCAGATAAACAGAGAGGAAGAGAGACAGAGAGGACGATTTCCCCTCCGATGGTTCACTCCCCAAGTGGCCGCAATGGCTGGAGCTGAGCCAATCTGAAGCCAGGAGACAGGAGTTCTGGGTTTCCCATGTGGGTGCAGGGTCCCAAGGCTTTGTGCCATCCTCGACTGCTTTCCCAGGCCACAAGCAGGGAGCTGAATGGGAAACAGGATCACCGGGATTAGAACCGGCACCCATAAGGGATCCCGGGTGAGTGCAAGGTGAAGACTTTAACTATTATGCTATTGCACCGGGTCCTGTAACTTTTTTTAAATGAAAGAAATATCTTTTGTTTTTACAGAGAAAGGAGAAGGAGAAGGAGGAAACAGGTATCTTCCATCTATTGGTTCACTCCTCAAATGGTCGCAAGGGCTGGAGGTGAGCTGATCTGAAGCCAGGAGTTGGGAGCTTCTTCTGGGTTTCCCATGTAGATGCAGGAGCCCAAGGCTTTGTGCCAGCCTTGCTGCCTTCCCAGACCACAAGCAGGAAATGGGTGGGAAGGGGAGCAGCTGGGATATGGACGGGTGCCCATAGAGGCTTCAGGAGCTACAAGTGGAGGCACAGCTACACTGCCAGGGTGCTGGCTCTTGTCACTCTTTTTTGACTCCACATTTCTAAATATTTAAATGAATACATACAGCAAACAAAACGCGTCTGAGCATACATCAAACTCAGGTGTTAGTTTGGGTACTGTGGATACAATGGTGAATGTGACAGACGAAATCACCAGATTGTTCTAAGCAGATAATTACGATGGAGTTGAGAGTGATAGGGTTGTTACTTTGGTGAACATGATATCCTCTTTGGGAAGTGGCAATTCAGCTGGAAGCTTAGAGGCAAGAAGAAACCAATCTTGTACAGCTCAGAAGATGGAGCGGAGCACAAAGGCCCAGGGTGGGACCAGATAGGCTTCTCTGAGGAAGAAAAAGAATGTTTCTGGGGTTTCCTTAAGGTTGGCAGGAGTCCCAGCCTCTCACAAGACAGAGTGATGCAGGGAAGAACATTCCTTTATCCAGAGTCATTGATTCTTAACATTTTGTCCGGTGTTGTTTCATCATATACTTCTGCTCTTTTTGCTTCTCTGACGCATGATAACTCAGTGTAATAAGGTTATGCCTGGCTGCAGGCAGGAGCAGATGAGACCATCAGAACAGGCTCTGTATTCTGGATGTTCAGCCCAAAGCATCCAACAAAAGCTGGACATGGAAGTATATGCGCATGTATGCTATTTTGGAAATGAATGATCACATGGATGTCAAAGATGTCCTCTTTTCAACAGATCCGCCAATCACAGTGTTCTCTACACAAACACACACACAGCTTTATTCCCCACAAAATGGTTCAAATCTGGTAATGGGAAAGTCAGCAGTATTTTCAGGCAAGGTTCGGCTGGCTCCCAAGACTCATTTTTAGCATCTATGACACTTGCCCAGGCCTCCTGGTTTGCTCAATTATCTTCTCATTGTGCTTCCTTTTGATCAATCAGCACTAGGCAGGGCCAGGACATGTCTGCTCTCAGCCTGCCGTGTCCAGCTGCCACAGGCCTTGCCTCCACCCCTGAGATGCCCTTGACAGCTCCATGGTTATCATCCCTTCTGTCTCCAGCCTGACCTCCCCTCAGAACCACACTTGAACAGCTCTCAGACAACCCCTTTGTAATGTAAACCACTCACTCCTTCTTTTCAACCCTTCCCTTGTTGGGCCATTAGCAGGGACTCAATTGTTGGCTCCCTGTCACCACCATCACAGTTAAGTCACTATTGTGCTTTACAACAGAATGGCTGCCGTTCCAATCGCCACTTTAATTTATTATTAATAATTCTTGTGACAAGTGCTTCTCTCCTCCTGCTATTGCCATTGTCCTTTGAACAAGTTGGTCGCTGCAGCTCAAGAGAGTTGCTAAATGTGTATTTGTTGGTTAGTAATGTAGATAAAGTTAAACTGAATAAATTAGAGCTCTTCAGCTTGGAATTGACAAGC